CAAACATGGTCTCATCCCAAACTGGTCATCTCAAAATCTGCTCCTCTTCCCACAGCCCAAGCCCCCGCCCCACACCAATCAAAACCAAATCTGTATTGTGCATTTTTACTTTTGTATTGACATATGTTCTATAAATAGTAGAGAACATTAACATATTGTGTATGTATCCTGGGTCTTTGTTTCGGTTGCATCAGGTTTTAAGATGACCAATATAGTGCTATGTATTGGTTCTAAATGCACAGGTGGTGAAGGAAAAACAGCAAAAATAAAAATAAATGAATGTGAGAAGAAATGCACCCTACATGAACAATGGGATAATTAAAATACATTAAAAGCTAGATAATCAACATGAAACAACTTTTGAACATCAATCTTAATTCACAAATTAAAGACAAATCCTCAGGGCTTGAGTTATGCTGGATTTCCCCTCTCTTACAGAGCTACAATATAATCTGTGCAACTCAATTAGTCTGAACGGAGTGTGTGTGGCTCAGGTCTGCTTAGAGGCCACTTGTCCAGTAAATAAGCCTGCCCTAGTAGCCAAGGGGAAAGCAAATCTATAGATGTTCAGAGACCTTTTATTGTTTCATGTATTTGAGCCAAGATCGTGGCCCATGTTAACCCCACTGCACTTGCATGTAAGAAGCTTTTCAAGATCCTAATCCCGGCTGGAATGCAAGAGCATAAAAATCAAGTTTTAGTTAATCATAAGAACAATGTATACATTAGGCAGTTTCAAGATGCTTACTTTTTTAAGGCCATTCGTAGAGGCTCGGGATGTGAGATTTAGAATGCATCTCCCCTATCCAAGCTAAAGCCAGAATTTTTAATAAAAGCAAAACATTTGGTTTGTCTTGTTTGGACAGAGGCCAAAATCTGGTTCTTTTCAACATGATTTTATTAAGTATATTACACACTGTTCTGCGGGAGGAGAACATATGGCTCAGCAGCGCAACTTAATCCTAACTAAAGATTTCCTGTATCTTCTGTAACCCAATATAGCGACAGATGCACGCTCACATGTGTGCAGAAGGTTAACACTCTGATTTTGTTTTCAACAAATTTACGCAGCCTATTTACATCATAGCATAACGGGGCTGGGGGAAGAATCAAGGCCAGAGGAACAGGCAAACACCGCCTGTGTTTTGGTGCCCTCTATTGAACACACAGAAGCTGAACTTTCAACAGGAATTCTTGAGAAATGCAGGCTACCAGAACAAGGATCAGTTTCCACATTTTTCTAAAAAAAATAAGTGTTAGAGCCAATTCAGTTATGCTTGCCACAGACCCACTTAAATCCATGGGTCTAACTCTACACATGAATATCTTTGTATTAATGGCATCATGAAATGGGATTTCTGAACATAAGAAATGTGGTACACAAATGGAAAAAGTAGCAGAAAGCAGCATCAATGTGATGGCAGCAAGGGGGAAGGATTTCCCAGGGTCTGACAGAGAACTAGGTTTGTTTATAGGGTTATTTTCAGCTTCCTGGAAGGTGTGCGGGCAAAGGCCTGCTGTGGGATTTTATTTCCTTGGCCAAGGGAAGTGAAGGAGTGGATAGCCAGAAGGCTGGGCTGTACGTCAGAGGAGAATATACAGTTAATTTGCTATGCCCAAATACAATACATGGAAAAGACAAAACAATAATTCTACTTTAAACAAGGTCTTCTAGTCATTTTTCCTTGGCTTTCCATTGCATTCTAAATAAATATGAATTCCTGACATGTATTCTAAGAACAAGCCTGTTCAGCTTTTTTAACCCCAATTTGCCATGGCATGGGCTGGGTGTGTGCCACTGTCCCTTTAAATATGCTACCTCTGTATTTCTGAATCCAAATGCTATGGGTTAAACAACCCACAGTTAACCTACAATTGGTAGTTAAATTGGTACATATATTAGATGGTTGTTTAATCCACGTATCTGAACTTGAATGCACTAGGTTGTAAACTAAGCAACTCACAGTTACCCTACAATGAGTAGTTAGGTTGCCTATTCAAAATGGTGGTAGCATATGCATTGTACCAAATCATGGGTTAATTAACAGACCAAAGCAGCCACTATTTACATACCACATGAAAGGCCTCTTTCCTTCCCTTCCTTTATTTTAGGGAGGTCCTAAGGAAGTTCCTCTGATTTGTTCCAAGGAACAGACATGGCCCAAAGAGGCCAGAATTCACATCACAGATCAGTTGTGGATGTGGAAAAGGAAGAGGATAAAGCAGGTAGATTTGCAATCATGGCTAGACACTACGTGCAGTAACAGTAGACAAGAAGTGGAAAACAGTAACAGACACTGCATTTGGTTACATTTGCTTTGGCATGAAGTCTGGCCGGGTGCCTTTCCCTCTACCTCAGTGGAAAGGAGAGGGTCACAAAAAATAGGAATCGGAATTCTATGCTCCTTTTTTTTTTTTTTTTGAGGAGGCAGGTAGGAGAATTCTTAGAATCTGTAAGAATCAAAGAGGCAACCATCCTTCTGCTACTGAAACAACATCAACAACATATAAATTTCTGTCTATTAACATTGATACTGCATTGGCTCTTTGAACAGGGGAAAAAGCATGTGCTTAAAATAAATAATAGGAGAATCAATTAATCCTGCACCTGCTGCATGTCCAAACTAACAGTTTTTATTTTATTTTATTCCATTCCATTCCCATAACCTAAAGAGTCGTCCCTGCATATCATCCACCTTATCACGATTGCACCTCCATTGTGTCCAGTTGACTGACGCTGGGGAAAGGGACAATCAGCTGGGTCAAGAGACACGCAATGGGATCTCGGGCTGCGGAGGGGGCAGTCCCTGGATGCTGAGATGGCGAGGTGAGTGCGTGTGTCTGTGGATGGATGGAAGGCTGTTTGCATGTATTATTATTTACTAGTATTATATTTATAGAACACCACTATTCCTTTGGTAAGGAACCTAAGGCTGCTTACATAAGCTTCTTCTCCATGCTATCCTCACAACAACCCTGCAAAATAGGCTGGGCTGTAAGCCAGAAACTGGCCCAAAGCCTCCTACCAAGCTTCGTGGCAGAGGAGAGTCTAAAACCCACATCTCCCCTGTCTCAGTCTAACCACTGTGCCACACTAGCTCCACCTCGTCTTGTACATGCTCTAAAGCTCAGCAACTGAGAACCCCTGGGGTAAATCCAGGGATGTGATGTGGCAGCCTGCATACAAAGGGGTGGGGTGCGCTGTAGATGCCATGGTATGCTTGACAGTGGGCACGTTAGGTGGGGTGAAGGCCTTGACTGGTCCTCTTCTCCAAGTGACTTTGTGACCACAATTGACTGCTCACTGGGGATACCTAATTATCAGCCATACAAAAGCTCCTGTGAGGCAACAAGAGTTTTTAATGCTAGTTTAATAAAGTCCATGCAGCTTCATGTTCACCATAGATGTCTACATCCCTGGGCTAGAATCTGCATGTATGCAGAGCATTAATTTCCTTCCCAGTGGGCTACACCAAGGGAAGGGAAGGGAAGGATCTTTATATGTTCTGTAGCAAAATGCAACATTCTCCTCCCTCTCCTTGTTCACCTGCATGAGCCCAGAAGCACAAAGATGTCACTGCTCACACCACGCACTGAAAGACAGGGATTTCCCATCATTCCAGGCTGCACCATCCAAAGGTGGTAGGGGAAACCCCATCTTGGCCCAACAGTGTTTATAGGAGCATGGAATGAGAGTGCAAGCTTGTCTAAACACTTTAACGGGAGCTATAATCCTAGCAATTTCCCCCAGATGTTATAAATCCCGCTTATGAATACAAGTCCTTGGTGCTAGTAAAAATTGGCAGCTGCAGGCAATGCGAGTGCATCAGTGCTCTCCTCACTGGGCCTTTTAATGTAATCTGGCTGCCGCGAAGACACTATGGGAAGCTTGAAGCGATGGGTGAGATGTCATTGTGATGCCCTGTGTATGTTTTTTTTAACATAAAATGAGATTTATTATAGGACATCCAAGCGCAGCATTGTGAAAACCAACAAATCCTCAAGCGACTTGGAGCATTTCAAGAATGACAATGGCTGTCATCATATAGTATTATTCCAAGATCATGCCAATAATAGTATCTAATCTCAAATACACAGTATTACCATAGGACTGTTTTCCTCACTGAATAAGATCTTAACGTGGCCTGAAGGCACACGAAGTGGCTACCATGCTGAAGTTAAATGGGTCTGGTCAGTGAAGCATAATCACCTGGGAACAGGTGACAAAAGAAAAAGAAAACAGTATTTGCTTGAAACATTGAACTACCTTGTTAGGATACAGTAGATTCTACAGTCTACCATGGCCTGTATTATTAACACAAGTTGATGAAAGGATTTCCAAGATTGGGGGGTGGGGGGGGGATGAATTCCATCACTGAAAAACAGCAGGGTCAAGAGCAGGAGTGTGTGTGACAAGACACCGCTCTGGCAAAGAATTCAGCAACAGAATTGTGAAATTGGATGGATGACTTTCTGATTTGCAAATGGTTTTTAAAAAGAGCACAGCTGTGACATTCCTGCTTAGGCTATTATTCATGCATTCATTTCATTTATACCCCACGCTTTTCCCCTCTTATGAGGAACCCAAGGTGGGCCACATAAGCTTCCTTATAAGGAACAATTTGTCTCTTAATGTTTTAAAGTCTGTACAACCTGCCCTGGAGAACTACAAATTAAGTTTTACCATAATATCCCATTTCAGCAAAAATAAATGCACTGTTTAACGCAGGGTTGTTTCAAATGGGGAAAAAAAATACAAATTGCAGGACAAACTAAAAGTATCCAATTATGGAAACATGGAGAGTCTTCAGCATTTGAACTGAGTTAGGAAGCCCCTTCCATGCAAGCAGGAGAGGCTGTGCAAACACAGAATTGTGGCCACAAGGTGGCGGTCGTGTACAAGAGATGAGAGCTGCTGGAGGAACAGGAAATTAGCAAGCTTGTTAAAAAAAAAAAACTCTTCTAAATTAGTGCTGGGAGGGGGGAAGCTAAATACTCACTCTTGGAGAAATTGTTGCAAGCCTTTCCGACGCTGGTCCACGTGCTGAGGATTATTTGTATTAAAAAATGGAGTTTTAGATGGCAGTTCTGGCAATTGTCTTTAGAAAACAAGAAAAACACCAAAATTTGTGAGTGAATTAATGAATAAAACTACTGTTTAAAAAGGATGATGATCTCTTCTACAGAAAGACAGAAAAGAACCGAAAATATTACTATGGACAGCTACTCACACCTAACAAAACTAATAACCAAGTGACTTAAATGAAGATTCTAGAGCTGCAACCATTTTCATTTGCGACAGCAAAAGCAAAACAGAATCTTGAGACAATTTAAAGCCAAAGAGATCTATTACAGCATAAACTTCTGTGGATTATGATCCTATGGTAACCTTGTAGCCTCCTGATATTTTGGACTACAACTCCCATAAGTCCTAGTCAACATGCCCAACCATCAGAGACTATGAGTACTGTAATCTAAAATATCTGGAGGTCAGCAGGTTATCTATCCCCAGTTATGTGTATGAAGTGTTTAACAGAAGCTGCTACTCAGTTAAACTGACTCCACAAAGGAAGAATTTGGCAGGTCAGACAAAAATGGACAAAAAGCTCAGCAAGGAAGGAAGGATTCTAAAATTGACAATCTCCCTACATTTTCCTTACTCCTAAAAAGAGATTATATGGGTGGAAGCAGAGATGTGCCCTTATCTGGATAAGCCACTCCAGCAAGGGCCTTCTGTTTTATCTGCTTGGAAGTTACTCACATTAACACAGCATTGCTCTGAAGTCTCTGACGAAGCCATACAAAGTCCCGAAACCGTCGTCGGACACAAGATGTTTTCCTTGTAAAACACATGCTGTTTGTCTGAAAAGAAGCAAGACTTGTTCAATCTGTAGTGTAAGATACCTTGAAGAAACAGCACTTCCCCTCCACCATTCACCTGCCAGTCCAGGAGCCAAAGGATCTGAATGATGAACTAAAGGACATTCAGCAAGCCCCTTTTCTGGTGTTGGATGTGCTAACAAGTGGATCCAAACTGAGGTTCCTCATTTGCTAAAAGTAAAGGTGATTTTGTTTCATTTAATTTAGCCAGTCCTTTGGCATTTAGGCTGATTTGCAAGTGAGAGGGGTTAAAATTAGTTGGGTTTCTCTTCTATTTCTTTCACAGTTCTTTAATGGCATTTTCATTCTATTTGCATTTCTGTTATGTTTTACTGAAGTTGCTGTTTTAATTTGAATTTTATGGTTAGCCGCTTTAAGAGCCATTTTTGGAAGAAAGGATTAACTAACTAACTAAATGGACTTCAAGGGCAGATACTATTCAGCACAAGGAACCGCTGCAGCAGGAAGCCTCAACATGTCTTTTCAAGAACCTTGCTGCCCCCCCCCCCGGATTCCAAATATCATTCCTATAGCACAGGGGTGTCCAACCAGTGGCCTGAGGGCCACATGTGGCCCAGAAGGGCTATGAACTGAACGAGACCAACACAAAACTGTAAACTTGCTTAAAACATGAGATTATTTTGCAATTTTTTTGGTAACTTGATTGTGAAGTTCTCCAGTGTGTACTTTGTAGATGACAATGTTGTGTTGCAATGTCATGTAAAATAAACGTACCTATGCTCTCACTATTTGCACACATGCATGGCTTCAGTTTTATGGCAGTCTGCGACTTCCAGTGTGTTATCTTCCAAGCACAGACAGTCAAATCGACACCATCAGACGTTAGGTGTGCTCATGTTGACTTGGCGAGTGAAATGCAGCTATTATCAATAATCTTTCAACCTACCATTGCAAACAATTTTATACGCTTCGACACATTAACTAAACACAGTCCTGTGGACAGCAAAAAATATGCAGCCTTGCTTTTCAATTTGATACAAGAATTTGAAAATAGATTTCAAGGTTTCTGGGGAAATAAGCACTATTTTGATATATTTGAGACTCCATTTTCAGTTGACATAAATATGTTACCTGCCAATTTTCAAATGGAATATATAGAGCTGCAATCTGACATTCAACTTAAAGAAAAATTTGATCAGGGACTTTTTATAGGTCCTATTGCCCTAGAGACAAATATCCCTTGCTTCACAATCACGCCTTATTCATGTCTTCGCTTTTTGGAAGCACCTACATTTGTGAGCAATTATTTTCAAGAATGAAGAACACAAAGAGTAAAATTAGAACCAGAATATCTGATGGGCACCTTGAGAACTCACTGAGAATTGCAACTTTCATCGAACCAGATATTGATCCATTAGTTTCTCAGATACAATGTCAAATATCCCACTAGTTTTATTTTTCCCTCTTTTCTTTTACTTTCATAATGAAAAATCAAAAAATCAATGAAGTTTTATTATTTAGTTATGCTCATTTTCTCTATTAGTGATCACAAACTTTGGACTTGCTCGATGATTTTAAAAGACTCTCCGAATGGGGCGCCACATAATTAGGATTATGTGAAGAATTTTTTGCTTATCTGTGGTGGCAGATACCACAAAAATTATGCATAGACTTTTTTTTTTTTTTTTTTTGCTTATCAGCTTTTGTTAGTGTTTGTGTATTTAATGTGCAGCCCAAGAAAAAATTTGTCTTCCCATGTGGCCCAGAGAAGCCAAAAGGTCGGACACCCCTGCTGTAGCAGAATTCTCCATCTCTGTACAGAACAATCCACAATTCAGTTCAGTTCAGTTCAGTTCAAGGTCAGCATGAGAGTTCACTAAATGTGATTCAGATCACAACAAAGAACTTCAAAAATGGTTCTATGATTAAAATGATGATGATCCAAAATAACAGTGTTTTCTTCCCAGTTCTTCCCATTTGCACAAAGCTTTTGACAGTTTCATTCTTTGCTGCAAGCCAGTATTTCAAAATGTCCCAGGTCATTCATGAATTAGTCCATCCCAGGATTTATACTAGACTGGGGAAGATAGAAGAAAGAAAACCTTGTTTTTGAGGTGAGTTGGGATATATAACCTGAGCATTATATTCTACATTTGCTGGGCCTATTCTTCATCCTGATTCTTACTCTTTAACACATCACCAACCAACATGGCCAAGGGGAACGCTGACTGGGGTGATGGGGTTTGTAGTCTGACTTCAGCCATATATATTTCTGCAGCTTATGCTTGCCTTAATTCTTGCCAAATTCTGAATACATGTGCAAAACATGTTCCTTGTAAACAGTGCTTTTTTTATAATAAAAAAGGTGCTGGAACTCATGAAATTATTTACCTTTCGCACGTAGTCAATCACTGTACACACACCCACACAAAACATATGTGTAACGAAACATAACGGCTGCCGCCCACAGTAAGCACTCAGCGCGTGACCACATGACCAATCCCAAGCCGAGCAGCACCACAAGCTGAGCAGCACCATCACAACCAGCGCAGACAAAGTACACATGCATCGGATTCGGCACACAAGCAGCTCGCATGCACCGTTTTAATGATTTAGCCGCCGACCTGCTACGCTCGACAGGGCGATTCAAATCCACATGGACCAAACATCAAATTTTCAAAAGTTACTTTTAAAACTTGGAAAATCTGTCAAAAAAAGGTGCCGGAACTCTGTTCCGGTGCGTTCTATGACAAAAAAAGCACTGCTTATAAAGGTTTAAGTTTGCCGTATTTGTAAAGTACTCATGCTATAAAAAGACATTTTCAGAGTGCAGTGCACATACTTACATGAATGAAGATTTCATAGTCAATATGTGAATGCCAGTAGTCTTCCCTTTGTAGCCTGGGATCTCGTACCAAAACTGTTACAAATTCCTGCAAGGGCATGATAGCGTTATTGATATGGAAATAAAAACTCCCCTGGACAGAGCCTCAGATGAGCTTGCCACTTCACCGGTTACTTATGTGACTGTTAGCCAAAGGTCCATGCCTTAAGAACAGAGAAACAGGAAAAAAAGACCAAGCAAAATACCAGCCAACCAAAATGAAAAGCAATGACTCAGCCTGTCTACAGCACATGTCCGGGGAAACTATTTGTCAATGAGCTAAAGGGAAATTTCTAAATTAGAAAACACTGTATGTTTCTAACCAGGAAATGCATTATTTAGAAGCAACAACGTCAGCTATTTTCTGTCAGCCTCATATGGACAACAGCCACTGTAGAATCGGTAAATTAAAAAGTTGGTTTTTTAAAACCCTCCCAAAAGCGTGAAAATAATGTTATGCACAGGAGCCAAGAGCCTTTCTTGATACTGCAAAGCAGTCGTTTTGGCTGCTATAAAATAATAATTTGTTTAAATGCACAAGATCAATGTTCCGATCTGGCTTCTAAGGGTTGATTCACATATGGCCCAATTATGGGAAGCATCCTCCCACCCGTTCTACATGAGTAACTTTGACTGTGAAAAGGGCCTTCATGACAATGTAGCAAATCGGGGAGTGGCACCAGCAGTACCTACAGTGCTACTGCCCTGTGGCATCCCATGCACTTTGCCCCATCAGCCAACTTCTTGAGATTAAAAAGCGGGGGAAGGCACTGCTAAGGGCTTGGGAAAATAGCCACAAAAAGTGTGGACCTGCCCTTTCTGAAGTGGCTGGAGAATTGGAGATGTGCTAAAAAGGTGAGGCAAGGGGCACAATCTGTAAAGTCAGAGGAGATATTGCCCAGCGGGAGATATTGTGTACCCCCCACACACACACACACCCCTTCCGCACACTTCTTCATTTGGTTTCCCCATGCCCCCATTTTCTGACTTATACTAATGGGTCCCTCCTTTCCATTGCTACTATTTCAGCCTGGACCTTTGCAACTGTGCACAAATTAGCTGACTGGCCAATTTCCTTGTAGGCTGCTTGCTCCACTGAGGTGTTCCCTTTGAAATATAAAAGGAAGTTTACCAGGAAAGACTACACTGTCAGACAGCCATAATGGCGCACTCGCACAGACCTAAACCCAGTGCTTTTTTTGTAAAACAATAAAAAATAAATTTAAAAGGTGCCGGAACTCACATCTTGTTAATCTTTTATTTAGGGTTTTTTTAGGGTAATCTTTTATTAGCAGGACCAGTGGTTGAGAAGTAATTAGTAATTTTTTTATTTTTAAATTTGGGGTCACACTTTTCACTAAAAATTTAAAAAAGACTTTCAATTCACCAACTTTTTTTAAGATAAAGAAATTATTTACCTTTTGCACGTAGCCAGTCACTCCACACACGCCAACACTGTGTAATGAAACATAATGGTCGCCGCCCACAGTCAGCACTCAGTGCGTGACCACACGACCAAGCGCAAGCCGAGCAGCGTCCCAAGCCGAGCAGCGCCATCACAACCAGTGCGGACACACAAGCAGCCTGCATGAACCATTTTAATGATTTTGCCACCGGCCTGCTACGCCCGTGGAAAAATCCATCGAAAAAAGGTGCCAGAACACCGTTCCAGTGCGTTCTATGACAAAAAAAAGCCCTGCCTAAACCTAACATTAAAAAGCCAAGAAACGAAAAGAGGGGGACAACTGGAGTGGGGAGATGCTCAGGGCAAGGAGATAAGACAGTCTCTGTCACAAATTCCCCTGGGACACACACCAGAGTCAGCTAGCCAACTGAGGGGGAAGGGGGAGACAACCACCCTGGTAAGCCAAATTAGGCTACAGGGCTTGTTCAAAGGGGTGGCTTAGTGTTATGTGCAAACCCAACCACTGGTTTCCTGTTACATCTGACCCAGGTCACCTTCTAATCCACAAACGCACTCTCAGTAGCTTCAGACACAGTACAAGCTACGCCACATTTTCCTAAACTCCTGAGCTCCTCTGCCTGCAGCCCTAGGTTCACGTCCCTGGAAGTAAGTCCGACTGACACAGTAGCTCTTGCTTCCAGGTAGACATGCTCCCTTTAGTCTGGTACCCAAAACAAATTCACAAGCTCAGAATTGCTCAGTACATGCCTTCTGCACCTAGTTGGTGGATGTGGAAGGGTGGCCCTCTGGTTGGGGCTGATGGGAGTTGAAATCCAGCAAAATAGGGAGGGCATCACTGCTATTCAATCAATAAAGCACTGAAGTGGTGTCCCTCTGGGCTTTCTCCAAAACTAAATAGCCTCACTAGATGGAAATGACAGATGACAGTTATCGCAAATTGTTGATCCCCCATTTAAAATTTACTCTGCCTTTTGGGATTCCCAGCACAGCACACATCATCCACAACACAGCTGAGCAGGCAGAGCCCCTCTGCACATAGCTGGGTGCAGACCAGGTTTCTTTCTAGGCCCTGAGGTTTCTCCATGGATTTTGAGAATCAGCCTATGCAGGCATTAGAAGAGAAAGAGAGCAAACTCTGCCCCGCTCCCCTTAAGGCCATATGCAGGGAAGCCCTAAGACTGCACAGCTGCAGCTCTCTCTGGTAGTCTTCACACATGGATGAGGAACCACTGCAGTAAAGGTGAGACCATCTATGTAATTGCAATGTATGGCTGTGAAAGCTGGACCATAAGGAAGGCTGAGCGCCGAAGAATTGAGGCCTTTGAATTGTGGTGCTGGTGGAGACTCCTGCGAGTCCCCTGGACCACAAGGTGATCAAACCAGTCAGTCCTAGAGGAGATCAACCCTGACCACTGTTTAGAAGGTCAGATACTGAAGATGAAACTCAAATACTTTGGCCACCTAATGAGAAGGAAGGACTCCCTGGAGAGAAGCCTAATGCTGGGAACAATAGATGGCAGAAGAATGAGGTGGCTGGATGGAGTCACTGAAGTAGTTGGTGTGAGCTTAGGTGGACTGTGAGCTTAGGTGGACTCCGGGGGATGGTGGAGGACAGGAAGGCCTGGAGAAATGTTGTCCATGGGGTTGAGATGGATGGGACATGACTAACAAGAACATCCATGTAAATCCAAGGTGAATGTCTAAAAGTCCTCTGGCGAGGCATTCACCTCACAAAAGTCTGGGATGCTGGACATCAGATGCTTTAGGATGTGGCCCCAACCTGGAACTTGATGCTTCCCACATGCCACAAGAGGAGGACTATCGCATGCAAGATAAAAGCCCCATTTTGCACATAACAACATGATCCCAATTCACAAAGCAGGGTCTTGGAATACTTTCCTTGGATTTGGGCTTATAAAAGAATAAGGCTACCTTGGGTGGTGCTTTGGATGTGCTCTCTTAATGTAATCACTCACTCTCAGCTAGCTTTGACACAGAAAACAAAAGACCATCAGGATGTGAGGAAAAGGCAGAAGCGTTTGCCTAAAGACAAGACAGCCACATCACCATCATTTGCATGATGTATTTTCACATTATCAAAAGGGGAAGCCCAGAGTAGGTGAAGCAACTCAAGATTATTGATAGGTTAACAGAATACATGAACATGCCTGAAGCTACAATAGACTGACTAGACCTCCCAAGAACATTCCTCTATAGCTTTTTACCACCACAGTGAAACTTAGCTAATAGTATTTTAAAGGACTCTGTCTTTGACAAAAAATTAAATTTGGGTTTCACACCTAAAGTTCACCAAGAAAGCTTCCCAAAAACTCTGCTTGCATGGTTAGTTCCATTATGACCAAGAAATGGGGAATCAATCTGCCCCTGTGTGCGCACAGTGTATAGTGCATTTGATTTCCACCCAAAGTGGAAATCACAGCACCCTTTCCATCAAGTCTCCATTATCCAGCTTGTAAGTACCGTTGCAATGAAGGGACAGAGTCCAGAACTGGCCAAGGAAGTATCCTCTTCCAGTGTAGCTAATATTTGCTAGAACAAGCCTGGTCTTCTGGGCATTCACCCTACTAGGAAACTGGACTATGAATATTCAGGTACCAATGGTGCCACCAGAACATCCGGTGCAGAAGTCCAGGCTCCATTTAGCAGGACAAGCACAAGCTGCTGCCACCTACAAAACCTGCAGGACTGGTTCATCCCATTTTGAAGTGCATGATACAAGCCCCATTGGCCTGGTTTTGAATTGACAGAATTTGAATTGAATATGGCTTGACACTGAATTGTGGGTCGTCATGATATGTGAATCCTAAAGTATGGTTTAACTATGGGTTGCTAACCACAAACGATTCAAGAGCTACAACTCAGCAACAAACCATGAATTATCTTCCTGGGTTGTTCTTGATTAACCCACAGTGCAGGGTTCACACATAACAACAATTCACAATTCAACAAACCACAATTCAATGACAACTCAAATTCAACCAATATTCTGGGTTGTCGTTACATGCAGACCAGGTCATTGGATGTACTCACACATGATGCTAATGTCATGGTTTATATTAACCAGTTTTCTGCTTTAGCTGAACAAACAAACCATGTTTAGATGACCAAACCAACTGTGCCTTGTTTTCTGTATTTGTGAAAGACACAATTGGTCAACCTTTGGAGTGGCTTCATTTTCAGGCTGCTCTAGCTGGGCAAACAGAAGCAGAAACAAGCTAGGAGTAAGCCACAAGCCTACACCGCAGCAGCTACAGCCCTTCACACTGCCAGCTGCACTACCAGCTCATTCTCCACCCCACACCACCAGTGGCATGAAGGGAGCCCATTCTGCTCAGCTTCCTCTAGAAGAGGCTCAGCAGTATGGGTACCCTCTGACAGCTGTCCTCAAGTGCCACTGGGGCACTTTGGGGAGGCTGCCACGGGTGCTCCCCACAGCCACTTGGCTGGAGCAGCCAACGACTCTGCCAAGTGGCTCTTTAGGAGCTTTGTCCATCGCGAGCTTTAAGTGCCATTTGGGTTCAGACGATCCATATAAGCCCAGGTGACTTGGTATATTGTGTAAACCTAGACAATGCTTCGGGGACAAGACAAAGTTTTAGTGCTCCTCATATTCTCCATGCATTGGAAGTCGCTGTGAAAGGCCTTAAAATGACTATAACTTATTACCACCAACTTGCACAGAATCCAAATCAGTTCACTTTGGCCGAGAATTCTGATTTTTGGGCCATTATTTTGTTATTACTAAATCATAGGATTAATATATAAAAGTTAGGTCTTGCAACCAAGAGAACAGCTCACATTAGTAGAAGTGGTATATTTCACTGTGTGCCACTTGCGCAACTGAGGGTTTTTCCTGATTTCTCAGGCTCTCTTGGAGTTAAGAGAGTAGTACACTGTTCCCATTATTGCTTCAGCAGAAGAACCAGAGGTATTCTGCATCAGACCATGAGAACTTATAACCATCACTGTATCTTGTGGGAGCAAATGCCACAATTTATATGCTGTGTGAAGAAGTATTTCCCTTTCTTTGTCATGAATCTCTCGTCAATCAGTTTCATGGGATACCCCTGTGTTCCAGGACTATGAAAGAGGGAGGGGAAAAATCCCTTATCCACTTTCTCCACACCATTAATACTTTTGTACCTCTACCAAGTCTCTCCATGTTCATCTTTTTTCTAAGCTTAAACCATCTCAGGCCCAGACTACAACCTTTTCTTGAAGTGGAAGTAACTCCAGCCCCTTGATAATTTCGGTTGCCCTTTTCTGTACCTTTTCCAGCTCTGCAAGACTGCATTGTACCTCTTCATGAAGACAGTTTTATTTTCCATTCCTTTTCAGATTATGTCCAGCTGGGTATTCACCATTTTCACAGTAGCTGAACACTAACCAACTTTTGCGCTGTGCAGTGCATCACAACCTCAAGTTCTCCTTGGTCAGTCACCCCCAACACAGATCACACTGGCGTATACCTCAACATGGGATTTATTTAGCAATGCCGGGAAATTTGTGAAAGCTACTTTCCAGCGAGACAACAAAAAGGCTAAGGGGAAGCTTTTCTGTACTTCAAGAAAACCCGTGTTTGCCACAGAAGCTCATTGCTTTGGTTTTGCTGATCAAGTCTGTTTAAGTCGCAATAACAGTTAAGGATAGAATGTAATATTAACCTCAGCCAGTACTTTATGGATTGAGTGGGTGCCAGCTGCAGGTTTTGGGGGGGCCTTGGCCAAGATCCCGTCAATGGGTCCCCTTCCTCAGATGCACCTCATCCTCTTTTCATCATTGCTGATTGGTGGGCAAAGAGTCGGTGGTACCTTCTGCTTCTCCTTCTCACCACTTCTCTTGCCTGGTCTGGACTGGTGAACAAGCAGGGGAATAAGCAGGGGAATAAGCAGGTTTCAATGGTGGAGAACAGGAGTGACTCCAGGGGGTTCTAGACAGTCAGCACCTGCTGTGAGGTGGGCCACGGAAGGTGCCCAACCATCCCTGCCTTGGACACTGGCCCTGTTTATAGAAGACCTGTGAAAACAAGTTATGACTAACTTAAGGCCCACTGGTTTCAATGGGTGTGTTCTAAATATAACTAATGGTTGGATTCAGCCCAATGGAAAAAAATAATACCAGGAAGAAGGTTAGCTTTTCTGTGATTAAGCATTACAAAAACTGGAAGAACGAAGAAAAACAACAGATGATAAACAGACTCGTGCTTTATACATTCATGAGCCACAAGCCACTCCTGGGTAGATCAAGAACAACAACTCAAAACAGAAAAAGAAAAGCCCAGTCTTTCCTTTCTCATCAAGATGAAGTTATGTCGCAGTAGGCAGAGTGCTGAAATAGACAGATCAATGATTTGGTGGCAAAGGTAAGCATCAGACTAAAGATTCCTGGCTCACAACAGCTATGTTTAGCCCCCAAACACCACCAGTTCTCATGTGAGAAATAAGGGGTGCTCCAAGAGAACCTTACTGCTCCCAGTTTTCCCCCCACCAGCCACATACTAGGACTAATGATGCTGCCAAAAATGGCTATTTCCTCATTCAGAATGCAAACTCTGGCAATTTCATTTTATTCAATTGGAATTATTTAAGATACTTATATCCTACCTTTCTTCCAAGCTGCTCAAGCAGGGTACATTGTATCAATACACAATGACCCCATATTATTCTCTGCCCCAGACCATAATCCAAGCTGGAAAGGAACTTTCTCTGGCTGCCCACACGCATCACCCCATTTACCTGGCCTGGTGTCAGTGGCATCATAGAAGATTTGCTGGAGGCTGGATCCAGAGACCTAGTACCAGGAACCCTGGAAAACTGGCTCTATCAAGATTGCCAATAGAGATAGAGATCACCAAATGGCACAGGAAGTGCATATGCCAGCGGCTGTAGTTTGCAGCATGGGGGATGTTGGTTTAGCTACACCTTTGGCAGGCTGAAGGTTGGCAGGAGCCTGTTCAAGTAAGCAGCAGGGTACTAAGGAGGGATGGGGAAGTGCCAGCAGGGAAAGATGTATTTCTGAGACATGCCATTTAGAATGTGCAATTTAGGAATTTAGTGACCTTCTTCCTTAAACCAGAATTGCCACACAAGGAGATCCTCCCTTTGCTGACTCTCATTGCTGTAAATCATTTCTTACAGATTCACTAGCACTAAGCAGAACTTCAAAAGAAAAGTAAAAGTACAATTGGTTCCTGTTAGCCAAATAAAGCATGTTTTCATGCAGCAGTGGGCGACTTGTATCCTGCTGGATGATTTGGTCTACAGCTCCTAACATTCATCACCATTGGCTATGCTGGCTAGGGCTTATGGGAACTATAGGCCAACAGCATCTGGAGAACCACACGTTGCCCACCTCTGTTTAAAAGGGCTAATTGGCATATAGCAACTTTTTAAATTCTAGTGTGTTCTGAACAAACAGATCAAAATAAACAGGATTGGTATGCCCCTAAAGTTAGCCCACCAAGGTGTTGGGAAGCTTCAAGGTGTCTCTCTCCTACAATTACAACACCATTATCTGCCATTTGTAGCATGTGATTTGGGTTCTGTCTCATTGAACATAAGTGTTGGTTTAGTTTAGGCTCATTAAAAGACAGAACCATATATATTTTTATTTGTAAGTTTTCTGTTTGCATGAATGAATTCCAAATTCTTTTTATTGTCACTGTGACTTGCTTCCAATGCCTTTTTAATGAGAAGATCCATCAACTCTAACATAACTATAGCTGTGCATTATAACTGCTGTAGGCTATTAAAATGCATGCCCAAATGGTGAAGTTTTCACTAGGGGAGCTTGCATTCTCCCCCAGTGAGTTTATTTGCATAATAAAATCATTTTAAATCATTCTCTAGATTTTTTCATCATTATAGCTCTCAAAAGAGCAATGCTAGTAACAAGAGTGGAGAAGACCACATGCATTCCATCTATGGCGTTGTGTCTCTGGCATCTCTCAAGCAACTGGGCTGGGCGAGACCTCTGTCTGTTGCCAGGGTGTATTTTTACTCTAGACTAGGCACAGTATTAGTCCCTGGCATTAACTAGCATCCCAAGCCAGACAGAGGATCCTTCGTCTGGAGTAAAAACAGGGGGGAATACATAGCTACTAGAAACAGAGAGTGCACAAGAAGCCTTAATCAAACCCCATACATACATAATTTTGCAATGCAGATTAGATTCTCTCTTGGGATTGGGGCACATAAATCTAACCCCTATGGGCTATCCACCTGACTACTTTGAACATTTGAACTTTTATGCTGAATGGGGAAGCAGGGGCTAGATACAGGTGGTATATTTTTGTCTGACAGGAAATGTGTCTAAATGTTGCCAGTAAATATCACATGGCAATTTTAACTCTTATTTGTTTTCCCAGGAGGAGAAAATTACCTTTGAAGAAGATTATTAACTACTGTTGCTTAACATTTGCTCAGTTCATATTTGTTCTTTAGAACTCTTTGCATACATTACAACAGCCCTTTGAGACTGGGCAGCATTATCTCAATATTGTAGAGCTCAAAACCTGTTAAATTTGGTGACTAGCAGTAAATGTGTATGATATCTTTGTCTGTCAATTTATGTTTCAAAAACAGCTGTATTTTTCTTCATTTTTGTCACACAGAAATCAAATCTGCTGCACAGAAGAGATGAATCAGATCCTGGACATAAATAGATGGATTGGAACAAGATGGCTTACATCCTGAATATATAAGCTACATTTAAAGATAATTCCACTTTTGCCAAGAGCAATCTGCCCATGGAAGCAGATTTGCAGAAAAACTTGCTTTAAGGCACTTGAAACCTGAAAATAAACACCCACATTCTAATGGCCTCTTTGCTTTCAAGCACATCAGTGGAATTGTTTGTCATGACCTCTACTTGCAAAAGCTGCCTCCCACTTACCATTACTACATATATATCAGAGGAACTACTGTTATCATCTCTTCTTTGCAGCAATTACACAACCTTCTCGGTGTCCTAATATATCACCACATTTTAAGTTCTACACTTTATTCATAGCTAGTATTATATAGTTCCACACAAGACAAGAACGGGAAGGACCTGCTTTCTGAACAATCTATAAGTATTTTTGCACAGCATTTCTACTTTCACTAATGTCAAACCAGTTTCCTTATTCCTTTAAAAAGGCTTCCTTATTCATCTCCAGTTTTAAAAAGAAGACATTCAAAGAAGTGAACCTACCTGTGTTTCGTGTTTTGGTGTCATCTTCCAAGTGGCAGGTAAAATAAATCTAAAACACAAAAGTGGTAAGCCCAGGTAAATACAGTGACCTTTTAAAAAGGAATATATTGAACATAAAGTTGGTCCAGAGTCACAACTCATGATTTGGGTATCAATGCAGAGGAAAATGCCCCCCCCCCCCGCAGGCTTATATCAGATTTCCTCATGGGAAAGCCTCTATATGAACATCCTATAATATTACAGTGTCACTCTTTAATGTATGTTTTAATTGTTTTAAATGGTTTAATATTTCTTAGACTTTATGGTACTTTTATTGCATTTGATTGTCTTGCTTTTATGGATTGCTTTAAACAACCGAGAGAGTTTCAGCTATAGGGTGGCATAAAAATGAAATAAACAAACAAACAAACAAACTTATCAGAATTGTCTGGCTACTTTGATAAGAAATAAAAATATATGTGATACATTTGAGTTCGTTGGCAAACTTATTGGCAACCTTACTATGGAAGCATTTTGAAAAATGCTCTTTCCTTTTTACCTCTGAAAGAGAACACACACTGCACATGTGAGTAAAGAAAGAAGTCTGGGAATTTCCCCTTACATGCTTCAACAAGCCGTGGATTGGAGAAAGTAGGGGCAAGGGGGTTCCTGGATCCCAAAAAGGAAAGCCCCACTTTCAAAAGCCTAGTATGGTTCTTCATGGCTTTCCAACATATTGCCCTAAAATCATGTGCAAAGCCATGAAAAATGGCTTGCTCCGTAAATGATGTATGGCACGAGCGACATGCTATGGAGTTCACATGTATCCTCGTTAATTATGTGATTGTCACTCTCAGTACTTTGTGCATTTAATTTCCTTCTGACCTCACTGTTAATTCCTTTTGACCCTCTCACTGTCACAATATATAATGTATATAAATCTGATCAAGTGGGCCATAGTCCACAAAAGCTTTTGCCAGAATAGATGTGTTCATCATGAAGGTGCCACAAGATTCACTGTTGTTTTTACTAGACAAGAGGGACATAGTTTGACCAGGGGTGAGAAATTGAAAATATGTGTGTGCTTTGCCACCCCATTGTTACAACAGGATGGCAACATACCTTGACATCAAACAACAGCAGACTTTTGCAAAACAACAAGTGACACCATACAGTTCCATCATTTTTAGTATTTATGGAGGCAAAATCCTACCCAAGACTCATTCTGCATTGCTGTTCATGACATTGTTACAATGTTAACGTTCCAAACCACTTCTCCAATTTTCAAGTAACAAACCAAATAAGAACTGCTAAAAACAGCTCAGCTGAAAATATTGCTTGAAAAAGTTTGTTCAGAATGCCCTAGGGCATAAAATCTTTTCAGACATCTCAGTTGCGTGCTATTTTCTGAAGGAGTTGTAACCTCATTTGCAAGCGGAAACTGTTTTGAATTCTCTGGTGCCTCTCCATTGGATCTTACTGGACCATAACTTTATACTGATCAAGGAGCCCTTCAGTACTGATGCTTCAAAACTCAGTGTAGCGCTCAGAGATTGTCTGCAAAATGTGCCCTGGTTTAGCCCTGCAATTGCAAGTAGAAGAAGCAGAAATAATTGGAGAAGTAGAATATATGTTTGTGATCATGAAAGACACAGCAGCTGTTGAGCTGCTGAATGAACAATTTAACTGTCTTTCTGGCCCGCTTCAGGTGTTCAACTGGGCTTCCATCCCGACATCGAGAACCCTATATGTAATGAAGATCCCACCTTCAGACTCAACCCATCATGCATCAGCTTGGAAGTGTGCCTGCATATCCATCAACATCAAGATGATGGAGCTAGGCCCCAGTCTTCCCAAAGCTCCCTTCACCACAGCAAGTTCACCAAAAGCTAAATCTAGTTAAGGTGACCAGCCAACATCAACTCAACTGCCAGAAGAGGTCATAAATAACTAAGATAAGAAAATAATAATAAGTTTGTTGGAACATGCCAAAGTCTATCTGGTTCAGCATTCTATTCACACAGTGGCCAACTATCTGCCTCTGGGAAGTCCATAAGTAGGACATAAATACACCATCCCGGAAGGCTTCAAGACATAATTCATATTTAGTACACTGGTCCATTCATTCAATCATCTGTTAAGCTGTTACTAAAGAAACTTCTACACAGTGCTTGGGCACTTCCAAGCTATCACACGGCTTTAAGAAAACATCTTCCTCTATACATTTTTTTGGGGGGAGGGGGAAGGTGGGAAGCAAAGTTTAGAATAAAAAGTTTAAAATTCAGTGTATGCCCGGACAAAGTCTGAAAGCATTATCAAAAGAAAAAAAATGTCTCAGGGTGTTGCAATATGTTGCAGTGGAATGCATAAGCATGAGAGAAGTTTCTTAGAATGTGGAGTTTAAATACAGGTCTGCTGCTTCTCTAATTACTTGATAATTTGACCATTAGCCTTACACCAAATAAATCAGGCCATTGGTCTGTGTAGCTGATTACTACTGACACTGACTGGGCTGACACAACATGGTAACCCACACTCAAAGCTGAGTGATTGCTTTTGTTGAATCGTGCCTTGGTGAAATTCAGGTTATCGTGTTATCTGAATCTGACTACACTCACAAGCCATGGTTTTAGTGGTTTGTTCGCAGTTAACAAGCTACAAACTAGCATGGTTTATTGACTAAGGAAATGCCATAGTTCACAACTCTGTTTAAAAAATGGGCTCTCTTCATGAGTTGTTTGCAGTTACCAAATATGGTAATGTAAATCAAAGAACAAAATAATGCACATTTCAATAACAATTTCCATTTCACCAACAACTTAACCTGTGCTCAACCCTTGAGCATTATTGTGTTGTCTAAGCCAGGCTTTGACTGATGGTAGTTCTTCCAGGTTTCAGGCCTAGGTCTTTCCTAGCCCTACCTAGGAATAGCTAGGAATGGAATAGCTATCTGGGACTTTCTGCATGCAATCATGTATTCTGCCACTATAGCCCTTCCTCTAAATCTAGTCAAGACAGGAGTCTTCTTTCCAAATGCAGCTTAATTGATGTTTGCTTAGTAACCAGCTCTGAAGGGATTAAACACACACCGGCCAGTTTTCAACTGAGTGCAGAATCAATTAAGTAGCTCAGAAGTTGAAAATAATAAGCATAAGCAAACAGGCTTTTAAAATAAAACACAGGTACTGTCCTAAAGTATTTTCTTACAGCAGAAAGGTTGTTGATGTTGGTTCTCATACTGTTTCCAGAGGCCTGGCACAACTAGGGAAAAGCACACATGGGACATGAGCATAAAATATGGACAATTAGGAGCAGACAAGTGTTACAGTCTTTGTATGAGCTCAATGCAAAGGTACAGATAGAGGCACCAAGCCAGAAGCACATTGGGCAAAGTCTCTGCCCACGGGATGGCTGTCAGGAGAAAAATGTTGAAAATAAGTATCAGGTGTTCTTGGGCCCCAGTAAGGCTTCCACTGGACATAAATGTCCACCTTACAGGTTTGCCATGCATATAAGTTTGGCCACAGTGGGAAGCAGCGTGCTGGCCTAGCTAAGCCTTTGGTCTATTCCAGCGTAGCACTTCTCATACTCGATGCAGGGGCTGAGATGGAAGATGGGTCTCATATCAAGGGCTTTGCAACACTGTGGGAAATGTGGATTCCAGTAGAGCAGGTCTCCTCAAAGCACACTTAGAGGCAAAGCAGACCTTAAATCTGTATCCAGCAACCAAGTCTTTTAAAAGCTTTTGCTGTAGAGTAGGGGCAAATCCCACTCTGCCAGATACAAATCTTAAAAGTCCTCAATAGAGTCCTGAGGCCATAGTTGGTAGACACAGATACAGAGCACTAGGAAGCCTGTATTGGGAATTGCTTTACATTTTAAAGGACTATCTGTTTTGATCCTCCATTCATTGGATAAAAAAGGTGGTAGTGTTAGGAAACCCGGAAGGAGGGTTTTTCTAAAAAGAAAAACCCTGAAGAATCTGCTGATAACAGTTTGACAAAGTGGGGGAGAAGCCAGAGCAAGAGTCACTTGATAGCAAGCTGGGCAGAAGGTCACAGAAGGCTTAGGGCTGTTTGCACTGTCAATTGATGAGTAACCAGGAGATGCCTTGACTGCCTTAAAAAGTAGAGGTGGCAGGCTGGGGTTCCATAGGCTTGGGTCATCAGCATTTCAGGCACGCATTTTTCCGTTTACTGTGGAAGGTGAAGGCCCAGGCAGTCAGTTCCAGAAGCCAACCCTTGAGCAGGCAAACCAAATGGATGCAGACACATAGCACTGAAGCATGGGGATGAAATGGAGGTGATCTGGCAATGGTTTTCAATCCCTTAACCTGTAATATCATCTCTGCCTGTGCCAATTGCCTTATATCATGAGCCAGCATGGTATAGTGGCTAGAAAACTGGAACAGGACTGAGAAAAACTATATTCAAATTCTTGATTGGTAATTATCATGGGACTGGGACTCAGGCGATCTGGGTTCTAGTCCCCGCTCAGCCATGGAGCCAACTGGGTGACTTTGGGCCAGTCACAGACTCTCAGCCCAACCTGCCTCACAGGGTTGTTGTTGTGGGGATAAGATGGAGGAGGAGATGTAAGCTGCCTTGAGCCCTTTGTAGGAAAAAGGCAGGATATAAATTGATAAATAAATAATCCACTGGGGAACTGACTCTGGGCCAGGCAGTGACCCAGCTCACATGATCACTGCCACCCACCATAGCTTTTTTAAGCCATAAAAAGCCACGCTGCAGGTGGATGCCTGAATGCCAATTCAAACCCAGAGTTCTTTGAGCGTTAACCTCAAATAATCCATGGTCTGTTGCAGGATTATCTGAAGGTTCATAAACAACCCCCACTAACAAGGTTTGGATGATGCAACTAACCATGGCAACCTCCTGCTGAAATGCAATTATTCAGAGTGGCCTTCAGCTCACACTGAAATTACCATGGCTTAAATTAATCCATGTCTGGCTATGGTTATTGTGCAAACCAGCCTGCTCTCTCAGCCTGACCTAGCCATTTATCCTATGTATCACTCCTGGAGCTCCTTGGCAGAAAAAATGGAAAAGCAAAGTAAGTATTTTAATTTCCACTATCTATAAGTATTAACCTTTATGTAATTTAATTTATTTATTTATTTATTTATTTATTTATTAAAACATTTTTATGCCGCCCCATTCGCCGAAGCCTCGGGGCGGCTTACAACATAGATAAAACAAGTTAAAATCCATATAAAATAATCTTAATTAAAACTCACATTATAAAATAAGCCGCCCTGGCCAGATAAAATTCAATTTGGCATGTTCCTCATTGTTCCGTAATATTCCAGTATAATCTGTTCTATTGATTTCCTGAAAGTATGCATTTTCTCCTTCCTGGTTTCCACTGTTTTGGTAAGTGATGGCAGAACATTGACTCCAACAATGCTTCCTCTTCCTCCTGCTTGCAAATGTTCAGACAGAATGTATGCATGTAGTGATGGAGGTCAAGGCTAAACAATTTTATGAGATGAGTGAATTTTACACAATATGTTTGGATGTTGACTTGAAACCACTGGCATTGTAATAAATATTTCTCGGATGGATTATATTTATATTTCTCAATATATTGCATCTATGTCATTCCAGACATATCAAAAGGATGATCTAATCCAATAATCATAGGTATGATTCAAGTAGCACAGCAATTAGTAGCTATACATTCCTTCAGCAGCTACCTAGAAAGAGCTTAGTTATTGTTGCCCATATGCAGTATAATTGTCCAGGAGTTAGTACCCTGAGGCCAAAGAAATATGAAAAAAGAACAAGGATGCTTTTTGGAATCACACAAAATAGTGCCACAATGTTCTTTCCCAGAAAGTTAGTCTTTTAAATTTAATAGTTTGCTGCTTCCTATCCCTCACCTAAAGGCGGATTGTAACTGGAATGAACAAGGGGAATCGTTAGCATTTCTGGACAACAGGGCTTAGGATGGACAGATGGGTCCTAGATTGCCTACTGAGAAGCAGTCCCTTGGGACTACGCTCTTAATGCTTCCTTTTTTGTTATGGTTTAATTGTTTTTCAGTTGCTAGCCATTGCTTTGATGGGTTTCATACATATTCGCAAAAATGTGTAGGATCCGTACTGGATCTATCTCTTTAGTACATTTCTGTACCTTCCAATAGACAGTCCCAAGCAAAGCAGTGAATGGCTCAGTGGTTTACTTTGCAATTCTTCCCTCGCATCCCTGCTTTATTTAAGGTACATGGTGGCTGTGTGTTCCCCTGCTGCACCATCCCAGTGCTGGAGCACTTTTATGATTAGGCATAAAATAAGAGTGGGACCCACAACAAAATGCAGCAGATCAGAGTGCTTCTATTCATGACTGGCTGGTTGGACACCTGCCTTTTTCCAGGATACTTCATGACATTCCCTCATGCCTAGTTCTCACCCAGTACCAAATACCTACGCAGCATCACTGCGGTATCCTCACTGGGATATCTGGCAGGAGAGAATTCTTCCCCTGAGGTTTCTTCTCAGTTTAAATATTGTTTGGACTTCAGGAAAGCTTAGTTTCCCCCCAGATCTTATGATACTTCCTTCTTGTGTGTTGATGACCATATACTGGCTACATAATGATAATCACTCGGACAACTAAGATCAGTATTAGAATGCAATGATAGTTACTGAGGAAATGATTATTACCTCTTTACAGTGTTGAGTATCCTGCGGACATAAAGAGGTAACAATGGCAACTTAATCCATTGGAAATCTAGGTTGCAATACAACACGATGTAGAAAAGCAAAGGGCAGTGAATACCTGTACTGGATCCACTATACTCAGTGCCAAGTAAGACTCTGATCTGGAATAAGTGTTTTCTAAACCAAAGTTCCAGATGGCACAGAAGTGCAGCAAGAGCTAGAAAGAAGGGTTGCAATTCTACACAAGGAGCCATGTTAAAATTACAGGAGACTTAGAGAAAGAGTCCCCCACAAACCTTTTGACGTACCCCCTAGCTAGCGTTTGACATGGCTATGGGATACAGAACCATGATTTGGCTCCCTTCCATTAGTCAAGCGCTCTGCACAGCATCCCTCTTTGAATCTCTCTCAGCCATGCTCCTGTTTATGTATCTGACTGAGCAGGGCAGTTTGCATTTAGCTCCAAACAGGTGCCATGTAGCCCAAAGGCTTTAGAACACAGCTCCCATCAGCCCCAGCCATCAAATTAGCAAGAGTGATAGGAGCTGTAGTCCAAAACCTTTTGAGGGCACCACTTTAGGGAAGAGTGGTCTAGGCAAATCCAGCAAGGCACAGAACTTGAACCTGCATGGGTTGGATCATAGGAGTCATAGCCCCTTTGCCTTCTGCGATTGTCGCTGGTGTACCTTGTATTTTTTGAAGCAGAGGAGAAAGCAAGATTCGGCCTAAATATGAAGGAGCCAAGACTAGGGCTTGTGATTTCACTGACACCTTCTACCTTACTTTTACCTCAGATTTCAAGAATTGGCAGCTAGATTGCCTAGGTCCTACTGCCTTCAGTGGGGTTTAAACAGCAGAAGAGCTTGTGGGTTTGCAAACCAGGTCTCTGATATGAGGTCTTCCTGGGTTACAGGGCTTCTACGGTTGTCTCTTAGCAACTGCATTAATTGCAAAATGAAGTACCCACTGCCGTGCTGCCACTTGCAAACTATTTCCTGAGAATTCGTTGTCTTTCCTCAATCTAATGAGCAAGGCACTAACTCTGATCATGGCCAGCATAGCTGAGGAGAGTGCTGGTTCAGGTGATGGGAGCTGCAGGCCAACAGATTTGGGAAGAATGAGACGAACAAGGAAAGAGGAACTGAGTGTCTGCACACTTTGCAGAGGCATGACAAGCATCCCTTCACATGGAAATGTGTCATCTCTCTGTCATCACTGTGCTTGGAGTTACTCCAAATCTTTCACAGGTCTAATTACTTCAAAGCAAAGGTCTGCGTAGGTAGCAGCCTACCCAAGATGATATGGGATAAAAAGCCACGAGGGTATGTGGCTCTCATGGCTTGCTGAAGCAGAAATATACAAGAAAAATAAAAAGTTACTACAAGACAGCCAGCATGAAAGAGGAAGTTTTGGTTTTGGCATGCTGCAGACACAGGAAGTTTAAAAAAAATCAAGGGAGTAGTTATCTTACTCTATTATAGGAAGAAACACAGTCTTATGGAATTGCTTGGCTTTGGAATGCAAGGAATTGTAGAACTTTTTTCTGTTTAACCGTACATAGGGTTGCACCTTTAAAAACTAATAAATGTATCCTAGCATGTGATTGCATGGACGCTGTCCACTTTAGTACATCCATCTGATGAAGTACATCCATTGTCCACAAAAGCTTATGCCAGAATAAACTGGTTACTCTTTATGGTGCCACAATAAATGAACAAAGCTGTAATCTTCCATTCACAAACTAGCCACATCAAAGGAGCATCTACAGAAGCTCTTGCTCAGTCCATTGCGGATGTGTATGACTATACATTTACTCACAGGATTAATTGTTCATAGGATTGTATTCAGCTTTAGCTAGATCAAGCTATTTCAACTCCAGGCATATGAAAGAGGTGTGGGTGGATTTTTCTAGAATTAGAAGAGCCAATGCAGACCAGCCTAGCTCTCTCAAGGTGGCCCTTCATATGGGCTTATAATGATGGGGGTTGCAGGGAAAAAATTCCTGAAGTTCAAATTCCTTCAAGCAGGCTTGGAATACCAGCTGAGTACAGGGAAAATCGAAGTTCAAATCCTCACTCTGTCTAAAAGTTCCTGTTTTGGTGAACTTGGGTCCATCATGATCTCTTAGTTTAACCTGCCTTACAGGAAAAGCAAGGGTTGGCCATTATCAGATTGAAAGTTTGCATACCACCTTGTGATATTTAAATTTGCTAATATAGGTATTGCCTCCAATATAGATTTTGGAATGCTAATCTTACAGGATTGCTTACGAGTTTAGAATGCAGCTGTGGAATGACATGTACACTGCCTTGAGCTCCTTGGAGGAAGATGAAGTAGAAAAGTTAATAATAAAAGTATAAAAATTAATACGAACTGATGATGTTCCGTTCTTATCAAGTATGAAAATCAAGTACGAAAATACTAGCAACCAACTGTAGGAACCTGTGAGATGACTTTTTACATTAGAAGTACAGGTGTTCTTTCAGCACAAGGGAACAATTCCATTTCAGGGGAGCTTTCCAATGGCAAGTGAGACCGAATGCAAAAGTGGGCAGAGCAAAAAAAAAAGACCAGCATGTTTTAGCTTGAAGTTCCTTCTGTTGGAAGCTAAGCCCTAGCAGATGCTCTTCAACCTTTCAGAAAGGGGGCAGGGGAACATGCAGAAGGGGGAAGCAACCAATGATCAGTGGCTGGGGGACAGGGAGTGAGGGATGATCATTTAGGGAAGGGCAGTAATTGGCCCCGATGCTGAAGTTTTGCACCCTGCCTTAAATCAAAGAAAATAACAATGGCATCGTACAGTAACTCTGTGCTCTTTAATAGAATTCTTTTAGATGTATATTGATAAGAGTTGTGCTAAATTTGCTTTCACAAGAAGTGACAGTATGTTGCACGTTTTGATTACAACTTTCAGGAACACTGACTTTAGAATGAGTCCACTCCAGTCAGCAGAGCTAACTACCATGCAAATATGCATATGATTGCATCATCAGAGTGCTTTGAAGCAAGCTGCAATGTAAACAAACCCCCAAATCTACCCTGATCATAAATCTATCTGTTAAGTCCTGCTGATTTTTCTACTAAGAAATAATGTTTGTTCATGACTTTGCATTCAGGAATTAAGGACATCTCCCATTTAGTATCAGATGTGGTGAGTTGCTTGAAAATGCTACTCAAAGAAACTGACGCTTCCTATCTGATAACCTGCGCAGGCCCCAGGCCCAGGTTTGGGGGGCCAGGAGCAAATGCCTTCGTTGGCTCCCTGGCATAATGCTGCCAGTGCCTGCATCAGCCACTTACTGGTTGCTGGCAGGATGCTTGCCAGTCTGCGGTAGTGATGCCCAACAGAATTCATTGTCCACACAGTGAGCCAGTCCTTGCCAGCACCACCTTCCTAAATTTTAGGCCTGGACAGCTTGGCTGTCCACACCAGCACCACCACTGGATATGAGAAATGCTGTCAGCACCATTAGGATGGTGGCATCTCCCAACCACACACATACTTGTTCCCCTGACTTGTTTATTTATTAGATTTATATTTGGCTTTTTTCCTGCAATGAACCACACCAGCTTACACAATGTTCCTCTCTATTTTATCCTCACAACAACAACCCTGTCAGGTAGGCTAGGCAGAGAGTAGGAATCTGGTTTAAAGTTACCCAGTGAGCTTCATAGCTGAGTAGAGTTAGAGACTCAGATATTCCAAGTCCTAGTCCAGCAACAAGCTGCTATACCACATAAACATTTCCTGGTAGACACAGAATGAGTACATTCCACATTACTCTAAAAAATTATAAAGGTTCTTCTGCGACTTACTAAAATTGAACAAATTGCCAACTCTGAATGCAAAAATCTCCTTCTCGGGCCACTCATTCAGCCATTGTTTATCCACAGAACTATCCTCCAACAGTTTTCATTTCAGCCTTTGCCTGCGGTGGACTAAATGGCGAGCCCACTCTGCTGTGTTATGTAGGCAGACTGATGTCCCAGAAATGGGGAAAGGGTCCCTTGGCAACCACTGCTCAAGAGCTGAGCTGAGATCCCAGATTTGGCTATGGCCATGCTACTGTGAGCACTGATCAGTGACAAATGGGTATAAATGGAGAGAGTACTAATAGGCCACGTTCCTTTTGATGATCTCTTTGTCCTGCTACTAAGGATAAATAGACTGTTTCCATAGAATGCCAAGCAACAAAATACCACATACGTGTGATGCTTGGAAAAATGCATCATCACCTGGGTTTTCTCCTACAATCCCCATTCAGTGCCTTACTGAAATGTTGGCAAGAAACAGTTTGGGAACAGCTAAAACAAACAGCTTCCCGCTCACTCACCATTGCCTATTCTTCAATCAGACACAACAGCCACTTAACTATAACTACTGGGAACATCATTATTTGCTGTGCCAGCAATTATCCCACCACATAATATACATTGAAAACCTGTGTCAGTTTTACCATGGCAACCGCAAAAAGGAGCCTTCTCTCAATTGTACCAGTTATGATTTAATCTGGATGATAGGAGCTTCGGTTGAAAGATTGTTGGAAGATGGTCATTCAAAAGTCTGGCTATTTTGTTCAAGACTATAGGCGATGTGGTATAAACATATCAGTTGCTCCAGTGCAATGCTAAGGGTGAAATCCTATGCATGTTTGGTTGGGAAAACAGTCCTAGAATTCCTGCCATGCCCCATGGCTGGTTGGGGAACCTGGCAATTTTAGGACTTTTTTCTAACTAATCATGCCTAGGACAGCACCCTGAATTGCCCTTAATTCAAAAGCAGCTTATCTCCCACTGCTGAACATCTCTGGTCAGCTAGATCCCATTTATCACCTGTGCTAAGAGCACTTGTTCATAAATCAGCAAGTTTATAGTCTCATTTTAAATGGCTGAATTGCACAAGATGCTAAAGCTGTTTTGCTTAAACTTTTACCTTTGGACAACCCCAAATATCCACATGGAGATTTATGCTTTGTTCATTGCTGCTGCCAAACCCCATTTGTTCAATATGTGGAAGTCATTTACAACAGGGCTGCAGAATAGAATTCAGCCTGAGAATTGAATATAATTTTGAAGAAACTCTCAGGGGACCATATTTCAGTGGTGGGGTGAGCCAAAGGAAAAAGGGGTATATTTAAGTATATAAAGCTCTTAGTGCCTCTAACTAATCCTTTGAAGAGATACAGTATTTTTCAAATTAGGAAAAGAAACTGCACAAAAGCCAGGAAGCCACCAAACAATCACTGATTGAGAGAACATGGCTGAGACAAGGGGATCTCCGTGCATGGCCTTCTGGAGAACCCCAGAAGTCCACAATGGAACCCCAGATGTTTCCCAATGGAAACTCCATGGGCCTAAGGTACTCTCCATGCCAGAAATCATGCTCTTCCAGGTTTCCAAGAGCACAAGAAATGTCCTGAGTAGAATCAGACCAAGGAGCAGTTGACATGTACACCAGCCATGAAACTCTTGCATTTATAAGAAGGGACCCTACATGTATACTA